CTGTACAGGGAGTCATTAATGTAACAAATTCAATATCAATAAATAATATTCAATGTCAATAAATAACAAAACTAATGTTCTGTGAAACAGAACCCAGGAGGCACAAATCTTCGGTTCAGTATGCTTCACGACCAGATCTCCCAAAGCTGGCCTACAGAAGAGTGAAGGGAAAGAGCCCAGGTGTGGTTTTCCTCCCAGGTTATGGCTCCAACATGAATGGACAGAAAGCTGAGGCGCTGGAAGAGTTCTGTAAGTCACTGGGACACTCATACCTCAGGTAAGTTATCCAAACATATCACTCTGAGAGAGAAGCCCGATGCTGAGCATGGCATTAAATCAAGTTTAAAAAATAAAGCTAAACACAGTCAATCCAAAGCGAGCTATAGGACTGCAAGAGGCACAAATGAAATAAATGAATTGGGGGGAAACCCATCATCCAACTGATATAGAATTAAAAATAGAGAAATTTGATCTGCAAACAAGAATCAAGTGACCAATAAGTACAGCTATGTTGTCTTTTAATGTGTTTGTTAATGTTGAAGTTAATAGAGGAAAACACCTCTATATGTAGGAGAGTATTAAAAATATGCTGTTGCTATACGGTGTTTTTGTTTGCACACAATATCAATTTCTATATACCTTTTGAATATACTGTAACTGAGACTTTTTTTTTTTGCTGGGATGCATCTTTTATATTAGCTGAAACCAAAACAAGATCTAGTAAGTAAATTGAAAACCCAAAGTATTATAGCTATATGGAAATATATATAGATTAATTGATAGATTTAATTAATCCCACACTGGGGAAATTCACTTGTTACAGTAGAACAAATGTCAGGAAGAAAAAAAAGTGAGTTAGAGTTATATGATGGAAAGAAAAATGAATAGTTGTCTGTTAAAGCACGGAGGAATGAATTGATGAATAATTTAATTATCCTAAAAATACCGCCACCTTTCATCGTGTGAAGTCTGAAGTTCCTGGTTAATCAAGTCGCTCCAGTTCTGAACAATAAGAGGCTTGTTAGGTCCACATAAACTTGTCTGTAGCCTTGTATGACTTGCCATTGTTTTAGCTTCAGATATTCACCCACTTTGTGCTATTTGTGGTTTTCCAGGTTTGATTACACAGGACATGGAGCCTCAGGAGGTGTGCTATCAGAAGGAACTATTGGTACCTGGAAAAAAGATGTCCTTTTTGTGTTGGATGAGTTGGCAGAGGGGCCACAGGTAAATATTTCCTAGGCTAATTCCATTGCTAGTTAGAGGAGGTAAGTAATCAGTCAAGTTATGTAAATTTTGAACGGCAGGCTTGGTCATTGGTCCTGCATTAAGATTATCAGGTTCCTGAGAATAATCCTCAAAGGTTTTCATTAGACCAGTAATATCAGACAAACAAATATATGAAACCTTGAAAATAAGGACCTAAATGCAATAGAGCTTCAATCATTTCTTCAATTTCTTAAATTGCAACTATGTTGTTTTTAATAACCTACAGGTAAGTAATGCATCATCACGTTTCAGTGTATTTGAAGTTGGTAATTACCAGAGTCAGTCTGTCTTCTGGCAACATTTATAGTAGGTTTTACCAGAAATGCAGGTATGCTTGCCAATCTCATTTTGCTGCAAAAATAAATAAATAAAGATAACTTTATCTTGTGGGATAAAACAAATATTGATAAAAGGAGGTGCTTATTTTATTCTAGTATTCAGCATATTGCAAAAATATTAAATAGACAAATAATGTCATGTCGTGAGCAAAGTATTGTGGTAGTATAGTAGTAGTCCCACTTCTATACTTATGCACATGCACATTTGTGATGCGCACTGAGTCTCCTGCAGCGTAAACTACATTTTGGGGGAGAGGAGGGAGCCGCAGGAGACCCAGCGTGCTAAGTAAGGATATTGTTGAGCTACATACGTGTTGAAAATTTGACCCACTGACTCCATTAACGATGTACAATCCTGTAAAAAAAAAATTTTTTTTTTTTTTTTTTTTTTTTTAAATGAGGATGAGTCTCATTTTAGGCTGGGAAGTTGTGGGGTCTTTCACTGACAGTGCTGGGTTTATGTCTGATTACCAATGATCCTTAAAATAAAGCTTGAGATGGTATGATACAGAAGATGATTGGACCTGCAGGTGGTCAGAGGGCAACAGAAACAGCAGAAGTGATGAGAGCAGTGCGTGGCTCCGCAAGAGGATACAATTAAGCAGTACAGGACTCCAGTGAAAGCTTTATTTTTATTTTTTTCACATGACTGTAGACTGATAAAATGCATACAAAATACACACAACAAAATACCTAAAATAAGTTGACATATGCACATGACATGCAAAATATTCCCCAATTCAAAACCTAAAGAATATCTTATTGTCCTCTACTGAAAAATTCCGATCTTATAAATGTACAAAAATATTCATAAGGTCAGTTGCTGAGCACGGCATTTCTGCTGCTGCATTGAAAACCCTTCCCTAGAGTCTGTGTGCTGGAGGCTTCAAATCTCTACATTTACGTGTAAGCTGCATACTCAGCCATAGCTGGCAGTAGCCACAGCTACTTGTAATGTCCTGAAATTCTGCTGTTGTTGAAGGTGGACGCGGAGAAAATCTCCCCTTTTACCAGATGAATCTGAAAATAGCCTTCTAGTGTCAAACTCAGCACTTAACGTTATTCTGCACTGTGAATCCAAAGCTAACAAGTAAAGGCAAAACAGGGCTGGGAGCAGGTTTAGTGAAACCTCAATGGGTGCATTTAAAATTCTCATTTGCAGTAACTAAACTGGGTTCATGAGCGAATCAATAACAGAGATGTAAAACCTTCCTAAATTCTACCTCCAGTGTTGCTTTTCCCCCTCATTTCACCAGAAGATGGCACTGTTGCCACATTTATACCACAGCTTTTGTTTTCAACCGTTCTACTGCATGAATGTGTGGTTTCTTAAAAATGTTTGAAGTGAGGTATCCAAGTTTGTTTTGTTTTTTTTTGTTTGTTTTGGGGGTTTTGGTTTTTTTCCCAACTATCAGTTGAGCTATATTTAATTTGTGGTGTTTTTGCCATCTTGTAGATACTGGTTGGTTCCAGTATAGGTGGTTGGCTTATGCTGCTGGCAGCCATTGCCAGACCAGAGAAGACAGCTGCGCTGGTGGGCATCTCCACTGCCGCTGATCATGTTGTCACAGCGTTCAACTCTCTTCCGCTGGAGGTGAGAATATAAAATACAATAACATGTGTAATTCTTTTTTGTTTTAAATATTTTCTCATCTAAGTGTGATATTTCTGTGTTCAAATGCAGACACGCAAGGAGTTTGAGGCCAAGGGGGAGTGGACTATACCCACCAAACACATGGAGGAGGGTGTTTACAAGTTTAACATGGACTTTTTGCGTGAGGCAGAAAATCACTGTGTTCTCCAGAGTCCCATCCCCATCACCTGCCCCGTGCGGCTCATTCATGGGCTCAAAGACGAGGATGTCCCCTGGCACATCTCCATGCAGGTTGCAGAGCGTGTCCTCAGCTCCGACGTGGACGTCATCCTCCGACGACATGGCCAGCACCGCATGTCTGACAAGGATGACATCAAGCTTATGGTCTACACCATTGACGATCTCATCGATAAGCTGACCACTATGGTCTGAGTAAGGAATAGGAAAGTGAGCCAGAGATGTTCCTAAGATTAAAAGATAATGACTTTGTTAACTGGGAAGTCAACCCTCAAGGATATTACCAAACAACGGCATGTTGCACCGCCAAATATGACCTTTTATCCATCTATGTTTTTCATCCCGTACTTCATCATGTCAACATGTTGGAAAATTGAAAACTATATTGTAAGGGAGCCCTCCTGCTAGCTGTTCCCTTGTATCTTCAGGTTGCATTTGTATGTGCTCCAGGTTATTGTACCAAGTGTTACGTTTGGTAAGCCGTTCTTAGGTCTGCCATTGCTGCTGTCTCTGCCGTTGTTCTTACTGTTTGGCTGTCTCTTCCCCTCCTTCCCTCCTCCATCTTTACTTAGAAACACAGTTTTCCTGTGCCTTTTTAATCACTTTTCACCCGTTTTGGCTAATAAAACCTTTGCACACTAGAGTGCAGGTCTCAAGTCTGTGAAAGTGCACACACAGATGACACAAGCAACATTATGTGGCGACAAAGAGCAACTGAAAGCTGCATTCAGGTGCATTCAGAATAAATTGCACTGGGAGATGTTAGTTGGAAAATATAGTCTATTCAGAGTCAGAGAGGATTTTTATCTATATATTTGTCTAACAGGGGAAAATACAAAAAGTCACACCCGAACGTATATCAGCACCATTACTAAGTAGGGTTAAGAATATAGTGATACTTGTACAATGTAAATTGTCAGTGCGAGCAGAAACCAAGAGTTTTTGGTTTCTTTGTATTTGCACAACATTTCTGTTACATAACTCCGGCCTGCTGAAAGGAGCCGCTGAGCTGTTGATTATTAACATGTAACTGGCCACTGGGTGCTCTATGCTCAATGGGGTGAAACCAACCACTTGGGAGCTCTCAGGTCCACATAACTGCAGCAGTGACCTTTAACTTATGGCTGAGCTGGGTATCCAGTCATCTGGCATGCTTAAACTAAACTCAGATGTCAGCTTGTGACTGTATTAATAAATTACATTTACTGTGTTGCTCCTGCTTGGACAGAAGTGTCCCATATTTTAGTTATGTTACCGTGTAGCTGGATCAAGTAAAAAAGAACACTGTTCAAGTTGAACCACGGTGCTCATCCAAGATAAAGCTCAAATTCAATTAGCTATAATGAATGGGTCCCAGTGCTGAAATCAAACAGTCTCTGCACTGTGCAGAAACCCAGGAGGTAGACCAGCACTTTAAAGAACACAACATAGACAACTGTTGTTGAGCAAGTCAGTGTAGCTGCCAACTGATCAGCTATGATGAAATAAAAGAGGATTATCTTGTTTGCTGTGATCTCCATCTACTATTGCCTTAAAGTCGCAGGCGGTAGTTCAAAGATTTGATTTGACACCATCATGTGCCTCTGCTTTGACGAGGATCCGTTCAATGCCGAATGAGCTGAGCGTGCACTACAGTGACCACTATCCTGGAGCGCAGTCACGTCGCAGTCTGTGCTGAGAGTGACTCTGGGGACACCTCCCGGGGGAGCTGCCATATAAAACCAGTGGCTAGCTCCTCCCGGACAAAGTGAGGTCCAGCCTCGTGCCATCAGCACGGATGCTTCAGCACTTCAGCATCCTCAGCCTCAGCTCAGCTTTAGCTCAGCGGAATTAACGCATCGGATACGGGACGAATCTGACCTTTCTCCCTGCTGTCCTCAGTAGTAAGTGCATCATTGCTTTTCACCCCCTCGATAAAAACGCTGTGAGTGCATGACTTTTGCAGCATATAATGCATATATGCAAACAATGCGGCGTCACGGCTGCCATGTGAGCTTTGGACGGCTCCCTTTCTGTTTTAACAAGCTGCAGAATGCGTAGCAATGTGGCATGGTGTTATCAGGTAACGGGACTTTATGTTTCATGCATTACATTTAAGTTTACTGCGCACTTTGTGAACGATGCAGTGAACGGCAGGTGATGTATTCCCAAAACGCTTATGCGTAAAAGGGGACTGACGTAATTAAATTAAACTCTATTGCAGCTAAAAATAGCGCAACGTGAACTTCTGTATATTGTTGGAAGCTCCCTTTTAAAAATGAAAAAAAAGGATATAAACTTTTCGTGAAAATACATTTGATTATTTAATTTGCGCCATGTTGCCTGCGCGGAGGTTATACTTGAACGGTCATCAAGTACAGCGCATCTTTGCGCTCGGTGTGCCGGAAACGGGATTCATCGTTGCCATAGCAATAAGAGGGCTTGTCCGTGTTCTGGGCGGCAGTGAGAGGACCACACCCATTCTGTGCTAGAGGCTCCAAAGATGTCTCTGGGTGGACCGATGGATGGGAAGCGAGACGTGTGCTGATGTGGCTTTTATCTAAACATTAACATTTTGTTTTATTTAAAAGAATATTGTAACCAATATGGAAAATTGATTTAGATCAGACAAAATGGTAACATAAAATATAACATGAGAAGATTGCACTGGTGTAATGATTGATGATGAAATCGTTTGTTCTCTTCAGGCAAATTGCACACTGCATAGAAAATATATACTAGATTCCTGGGAGACCCACAATGGCAAACAGAGGGCCCAGTTACGGACTGAGTCGAGAGGTGCAGGAGAAGATTGAGCAGAAGTATGATCCTGACCTGGAGCAAAGGTTGGTCGATTGGATAATTGCACAGTGCGGAGGAAACCTGGAGAAACCACAGCCGGGAAAGCAGAACTTCCAGAAATGGCTGATGGATGGAACAGTGAGTGTCTGCAGCATAGTTTTCTGCTTGAAATAGAAGCTAGCCTTAAATAATTTAGGATAGCTCTGTGAGATTTAAAGAGCCCAAGGTTGGCAAAAGTCTAAAAAAAGTTTTTTATATTTTTTATATACTAAAAATATAAAATATAAATATATTAATATTCTCTTTTTATTAGAATTTCTTTATGTACTATTGGCTAAGTTGCAATTAGGTTGTTAAAAGAATACTTGTGTTTTGTATTATTGATAAGTCACTGATAGCAAACGGCAGTTTGAAAATTGCTAACTACTATGGCTACACTGATCTCTGTAAGCCTCTGATTTAAAAACTCCTCTATCTTCACAGTGAAGATGCTTACCAGTGCACCCTTCACTTTGCTGTCTTTTGCCATGCTCTTTAGCTGACTAATGCAAAAAAAAAAACTCAGAGAAAACAATCATATGACGCAGATACATCAATTTATGACCTAATAATTAACTCTAGAGATAAGAGTGTAATGCAATCAGAGGCCATTGCATGTTCACAGCAAAGTGACTCAGACTTTTTGTGAATTAGAAGACAGCCTTCCTCTCCAGAGACCACACTTCTTCTCGAAATTAAGCTGTTACTAAAGTACAAATTGGAAAGGGAAGATAAGACTACAACCCAGAATAAAAATGTCCATATTAGTTTAGGTGTGTCAAATGACAATGTCTTTGGGTGAGCTATTCCTTTAAGAACCATGAGTCATTAGTATGGTATGGTCAGTATGTTGGTTGATGACAGTCAATACAGATTCCTGACCTCTTTTGTCCCAGATTCTCTGTAGACTCATCAACAGCCTTTATCCAAGGGGGAAGGAACCCATCAAAAAGATCCCAGAGTCTCAGATGGCCTTTAAACAAATGGAGAAGATCTCCCAGTTCCTGCAAGCCGCAGAAGCTTATGGAGTCACAACCACTGACGTCTTTCAAACTGTAGATCTCTGGGAGGGTAAACTCTATCTTCTGATGCAGTCATGTTTACTCTATTTAATAGTCACCAGATGATTTACAAAATGTTTACAATCTGGCTACAGGAAAAGACATGGCAGCAGTCCAAAGGACCCTAATGGCTCTGGGGAGTTTGGCTGTCACCAAAGACGACGGTCAATACAGAGGAGATAGAGACTGGTTCCACAGGTGGATACACAGCGAAGCAAAACAAAAAGAACTCAATATCTTCACAACTGCACAGCTAATCCTGTAACCATATTGCTGTTTCTATTCAGGAAAGCCCAGGGGTACCGAAGAGAATTCACCGACGAGCAGCTACGCCAAGGACAGAGTTTAATTGGCCTCCAAATGGGCAGCAACCGTGGGGCTTCCCAGTCTGGTATGACAGGCTATGGCATGCACCGTCAGATCATGTAGACCCATTACTACCCTTGCTGTTCTGCTTCCAGACCTTACTCTCTCCTAACACCACAAATATTGTAGCCCCAAAAACCTTCCTAAGCTTCGTAGCACCTGCCACGTTAACCTCAGTTTCCCTGAAAGTGCTGCTTTTTCCAGACAGTGTTTTATTCACACTTTGAAAAAAATGATGTCAGATGCTGTAGCTCTCCTTCTTTGGACTCTCCTTCCCTTCCTCTCTCCCAGGATCTCACGTGCTGTTTCCTAACTATCACTCTTAACTCCATTTGGTTACTTTTCAGGTCCAGATGTTTACTTTACATGGAACTCAGTGTTTCAGCATCGGTTTAGTCTTGCAAAGTGTTTAAATAAAATCTCTATACAATGCAAGTCATCAGAGTTGTACATATATTTACGGAAGTACTGTAAGCCACTGTTAGAGCATGCCGTATGCTATGCATTTTTAATTATCGACACATTACATTTCTTTGCTTGTTTTAGGATGGCTACTGTTACCCTGTAATTATTTAGCCTTAAACCTAATGGAACTTAATGACTGACGATGTCTCTGCTATCTTGTCTGAAGACTTGTTGCAGTATCCTCTGTAACCAAATCAACCTCACGTGGTGCCTGGTTATGGGACTACAAAGACTGGGTCCTGATATACTGGCCTCAAATTATAAATGAGAGTCATTCATTCTGAGCCATGCCCTTGTTATTTGTTTGTTAGATTACATATTGTACTGTGTCTCTTTTGTGCGCAACAAGCAAGTAAATGTGCAGTAGCCAACATGTACAACAGTGGACTTTTCATCTCTGATGCCAGTTGATTACACTGCTTGAATGTGCCCTTTTATGTGTATTATATTTTTAAAATATATTTATATCTGGAAGCCTGTAAGAAGAATTATTTAAAAAAAATAAAAAAAATAAAGTACACTATGATAAGAGGTATTTGTGTCAGTTTTTACAAAGCAAAAGTTGAGCAACTGCAGTGTACTCAGCGTGTTGGGTGAATTTTTCTTTCCCCCGTTATCTTGGTTTTATGTTCCAGCTCCTCCCTCATGCCCATCCCTCTCTTCTCTGCTCACTGTACACAATCTAATAAAGCATATGCTACGCAGCATAATGATTAGGCTGCTTGTTTCTGATTCAAGCCTGTGTGCCAGCAAACCTTTGCCTTGCTGAGTAGACTTCAGTCAGATATTAAATCCCTCCCTGCTCCTGTAACGCCCTTTAATAGATGATCTTACCACTGTAAGAACAAAGACTAGAACTACTTCAAAGTGTGTGTAACCTTCATATCCTTTTATTCTGTCCATTTTGATCCATTTTGATACTTAACAAAATGCAATTATAGTGACGCCTTTTTGAAGTGTCCTGGTATGTAATGTTTAGACTACAAAAGGTCACGTTTATTTCAGTGATCCGGTTTATGGGGTCACTTGCTTGCATCTGTTTGGCTGCTAAATGGCACATATACGAAATACATGCTTTAACTGACATTTTAGTTTGCTATTAACAGCCAGTCTACTGTCCATTCATAGTACCATTTATTTAATTGCTTAATAAAAACTTGGTATCTTCTGGTGTGGCAGCATATATTCTCAATATGTAATTATTTGGTTAAGGTTAATATCTTGTTTGCTTCACTATATAGGCACTTCATGTCAACTATGTGGCCTTCTGCATGTGTGGCCCTCAAGGGCTCTTTGAGTGTAAGCTTATTATTAGCCTTGGCTAGACTGGAGAAGAGGTGATGTGTGACCAGTGTGGCAGGCTCAATGAGTAAACCAAAAACAACAAAGAGACCAATGGCTTTGAGAGGTCTAAGGTCAATCTCGTCTGAAACTGTCTCTCAGCTTGTGTTTTCTGTAGCTGATATCTTTTCTTCTTTCATTGTGCATGCCAGCTTTTAAGTTAAACGTGCTGCAACAAGGCTAGCTATGCATTAGATTGAGACTTCAGGCTTATTTGTTGTGGGAAATTGATTTCATTAGACAGGTAAAACTGGTAAAATGTTGCAGACAAGGTTTAGGATCGCTTTACTGCTCCTCGTTTTGGCATTCAGATGTGTTGCACAGCAAGAAACCCAAAGTAAAGGCTGTGTCTGTGGATATCCTGGAATACCAGGTGATCCCGGGAACAATGGCATGCCTGGCAGAGATGGCCGCGACGGACTCCGAGGTGACAAAGGTGATCGAGGTAAGTTTACAAGAGAAACTTTATTTATTTATTTATTTTTGCATGTTTTAGGTGCCACCTTCACAGTTTATAATAACGTTATAATTCATCAATCATTGTTGGAAAGGTGAACTTGGACCTACTGGGCTAGCAGGCAATCATGGGCACAAGGGAGACAAAGGGGAACCTGGTATGTGTCTTTACGATACACTATGTGCACCTATATGTGTATTTATCTGCAAATGGAGTCACAACCACTGTCATTTATTAATGCAATTTATCTAAATGTTTGCACTGTATGTAACTTGCAATATGTTACTGCACTGTAAACACCATACCTACAGTTCAAAGAAGGTTTATTGTGTGCTTATTATTTACAGGTGCAACTGGTCCAGCAGGGCTCAAGGGGAAAAGAGGAGATAATGGCGATAGGGGCCTTCCTGGGAAAATGGGACCACAGGGAGTGCAAGGGCCTGTTGGCCTCAAAGGAAATAAAGGAGAGCTTGGGCTCCCTGGGCCCCCAGGACCTGAAGGACGTTTAGGGCCACCCGGACCACAGGGTGAAAAAGGGGAAACTGGCCTCCAAGGTGACAGAGGCATTCCAGGGCCATTGGGACCACCTGGCAGGCCAGGTCCCAAAGGGGACATGGGTTTTCCAGGTAACAAAGGAAACATTGGTTATCGTGGGGATAGAGGAGCTCGAGGTGAAAAGGGCGATAGGGGTGAAAAGGGAGACGAAATTGTTGTTTCCAAAAGTGCTTTCTCCGTAGGACTCAGTGCTCAAACTAAACTCCCAGCAGCTAATGCACCGATCCGGTTTGACAAGATTATTTACAATGAGCAGAATCATTACGATCCACAAACAGGGAGATTCACTTGCTCCGCGGCAGGTGCTTACTTCTTCACGTACCACATCACTGTATTTTCCAGAAATGTGAAAGTGGCCCTCGTGAAGAACGGTGCAAAAATCATCCACACCACTGACAACTACCAGGGCAGCGAGGACCAGGCAGCAGGGGGAGCTGTGCTGCATCTGGGGGTCGGGGACAAGGTGTGGTTGCAGGTGGTTGGAGGAGAGCCATTTAATGGGCTCTTTGCTGATGAGGATGACGACACTACCTTCTCTGGGTTTTTGATCTTTGAGGCTTAATTAAGGGATCATTTATGATTACTATGACTAGAAACAGTAAAATGCAGAAGAACAGTACAAGTCAGTAGGATTCAACATGTTAACAAATTCTAATTAAATGAAATTCAAGTTTATGTATGTAGCACAAACTCACAACAACAGTTGCTTCAAGGTGCTTTATTGTGTAACAACAACAGAGAGAAAACCCAAAAATCATACAGCCTCTATGAACAAGCACTTGGCGACAGTGGGAAGGAAAAACTCAATTTTAACAGGAAGAAACATACATTTAAGTCTAAAATGCCTGTTGCAGTAGTAAAATGTAACTAATTTATTCAAGTACTGTATAAATGTGAATTTTCACTTCAGTATTTTAATGCTGTTGTGTGACTCCTTCTCCACCAAGCTAACGACACACTTTTCTATATAAGGCATTTACACTGCTCATTAAAATTTAACATGTAAAGCAAGTGAGGGTGTTGTTGAGATTGAACTGGTTGTTGTAGATTAAACTACACAAGGAAGCTGGTTCAAAATTCTTCTTAAACATTAACACGGATGACAGTCACCCAGGATTATTGTGCTCTATAACAGATATAGCAATCAAAAGAGGAATTTGTTTTTACATTCCTTGCTTCGTTAAAAGCTTTTATAGGAAACTTTGACACGTGTTTGAGTGCTTTTACACCATCTACTGCTACTTTTATTAAACATCATGATTTTCCAAGCACTTCTGAAATTCTGTGTGGGTTCTTTTTATTCTTTTTTGTTTTTAGGACATGAAATTCTGCTGACATGTGAGCATTGATCACATGAAAACAAACAGTGATATTAAACACTGTACAAAGGTTGACTGAGCTCTGTGTTATTTCTGTAACCTGTTTACTCTCTCAGAACAAAGGGGAGCGACAATCACTCAGTCCCTTCTTTTTTCTTCTTCTGGTATTTTGGGATGGGCTCGGTACAGAAATATCTGTGACAATAATTGCTTGGCATGACACGAGGAAGACAGTTCAACACCAACTGGAAGGCCGAGTCTTTTTTAGTCGTCGGAGAGACGCTGGAACTAGGTGAAGCATTTTCTTCTGTGTTCTAACTTCATTGAAGAGCCTTGGAATGGGCGTGGTTTGCGGTGGTGACGACTTACTGAATTGCGATTGGCTCCAAACCAAAATGGTCGCCCTGTGGTCAACCACTAACCTCGAGCTTAACCTCGCGATGGCCCCGCCCCTTGTAACAGCACAGCAACAAGTGCATTAGTGATGCTCGCCAGCACGATCCTCCAAGAGAGTCCACTTTTAACTTGGAGTCACCAGCGACATTAGGAGTGTCCCATGAGTTAGGTCGGGAGAAATTTCATGATTCAGTGTTTATCATCGCAGTCGCTTGTACACCAACGAGTTTTGCCGGTTGGTGAAAGCGAAATAAGAAACCACAGAGCTTGCGCAATTCACAAGTTTTATCAGTGGAGCCGTGCTTGAGCTAGCTTAAGGTGCTAGCTCAAGGAGTCAGCCAGCCATTTGTCTCAGTATGTTGCGGGGGGTGACTAGTTAACGGAGGTAGCTGCCATACTATTTTTTTTTCTCTCAATTATTTGTGAGCGATATGTTTTTGCGACGGGAGCGAGAGAGCGACACAGGGAGCGAGAGAGCGACACAGCGAGCGCCTGGAGGTCCGAGAGACTGCTCCGACACCATGGATAAATAACTACAACAGCTGCTCCGTTGATGTGCGTGAGAGAGAAAAGGTCAGGAGGACAACATCAGCGACTATGAGCAGGGTGAGCAGAAGTTTTGGTACTCTTCATTTTAATAATTGATTTTAGAAGTTTGGTTTTGGGTTACAGCTGCAGTGATTTTTCTTTTTTCGTTTACCTTCTCTGTTGTGCTACCAGTTGAAATGGGACCGGGGTGCGGGGGATATTGTGGTGCATTACAGCCGTGGTTGTTATAGTGATGTGGGAGATGCCAGGCTGTGCAGGGAGTTGGTGAAGGAGGAGGAAGAGGAGGGGGGAGTTGGAGGGCCAGCAACTACAAAGAGCCGAAGAAAGTTAATTAATGCAGAAATAAATAAGCAGTTAGGCCCAGAGTTCTTTATGAGCTTAGAAAAAGTGCTCGATGTAATCCCCTTTCGTGACTCCCTGTTTTCCAGATTCTGCTGCCGATCTAACTGAGCTACACTGAGCCGCAGGAGAGTTTACTCCAATTTAATGAACTTGGGTCCCACACAGACACTTGTAGAGGTGAAATCAGGCGCAGGCCAGAGTCCTCTGATTTATTGTGGGCCTGAACAGTAATTTTACAGCAGAGCCAAATGACTACAATATAATTTTACTGTAGTCCGCTTTCTCTTCCAGATCTCATGACACATAAAATACAACGCCTACAACTCATCTTTCTGTAGTTTAAAAAATCTTATTACATTTTTGCATTTCTGTTTTCATTTGATGGTCCAGCCTTGTGGTTTGCGGTGCTGTCAGGTTACACTGCTGGCCCTTGAAACCAGGCTCAGTGGTGTTTTGTCTTCACTGAACCTTTTACACTGTGTGGTATTAGATTTCTGGCAGTCTGTGTCTATGACAGTCCTC